TCCTTCTCATTGTTAATCATACATATATTTGAGTTACTGTGACTCATAATATACCCCATGTCTCCAGATGGAGGTAAGTAAGAAGGTGGACAGTGAAAACGCTTTCTGTCACGAAAGATACCTGAAATTAGGGCCAAAATCTTTATCTGAAGACGAATATTATTATTATATCTTTTAATTCCTAGATGAACAAAGGGCTTCAGCTGCGCGTCTCCTTCGCCTTCGGTTTTCTGCCAACGTTTTCACCCCTCTGCACGTCTGCCCACATGCTTTCATGTCCTCTTCACACGACCTCCTGCAAGTCACTCTTGAACGACCAAGTCGCCGCTCCCCTTTCGGTTTCCACTCGGGGGCTTGTCTAGTAATGTCACTCACTTGATGGTTTCCTCAGCGTATGACCAGTCCATCTCCACTTCTCCTTGCTTATTTGTTGCACATTCGGTTCCTGGTTGGCTCGCTCATTGCCAGAGATCCCTGTTGCTGACTGGCCATCTGATCTTGAGTGTTATTGAGCGAAGACAACTATTAATGAAGGTTTGTAGTTTGTTTGAGATGCCCTTCATAACGCGTCAATTCTCTGATCCGTATAGTGAGTAGCACCGACTTCACATTGGGGTTGAAAATCCGGATCTTATTTTTGATACTGAGTGCTGTTGACCTCCACACAGACTTGAGAGTAATGAAACCTTGTCTTGCTTTTCCGATTCTGGCTTTGAAGGTGAATAAGCTTTAGCCTTTTGTTCAAACAGATAAACTATTTTTTCATAATAATTAGGATGAAACCTAATGAAATCCTCTTTCTGCTTTGTGTTTTTTTTTCACCTGTCGCCTATCTAACATCCAGCGAAGTTTCTACTTCCAACGTCTATACTTTGGACTATGCGTAATTCATTTTTAAGTATATTTATAAGAGTTATTATACATGTCATAAAGTAAAGTGTCTATTTTTATTCACCTACCAAAATCGTTGAGACATGCAGCTTCGAATGATTACCTGAAATTCCATATTTTGCCGAAATTTCCACTCCTTTCAGAGTCTGAACTTGACTCGTAAATTCTTACATCTTATGTTGCTGTAGTCGATTCCTTGTAATTTCCTTTGTCAGATGCATCCTCATATATTTCACATGACACGTATAAAAATTTCTGAGGATTGTTCAGCAGTTGAATGCTACTAAACTTCCTTGAATTCATCAAATCATGTTCTATTATTACTTGTCATCTGGTTTAAACTCACTAACCAGGAATAAATGTCAATCTGTGTAATAAATGGAGCTAACCAGTGATACTACGACATCCCATTCTAAGGAAGGTGACTATAATCATAATAATAATAATGCCTTTATTGGAAACAGTATTTATGATACAATCTAGATTTTTCAGCACGCGTTACAATATTGCGTCTTATTCGCTCTTTACACCACATACTATGGTGGGGGAGGGGTGGGGAATATTTAAGAGAACAAAATCAAAGATATTAATATCAAGGATAAAACTATGACATCTTTGGACATAACATCTTTATTCACAAATGAACGTCTAGTAGAAACGGTAAACTACGTTATGTGAACAAATTTATAACCAGTTAATAAATATTGGTGTCACAATGGAATTCCTAAAAGGACTGTTGTTAAGATGTAGCATGAGTGTACATTTTAAATTTGATGACACACTCTGCAAAAAACAAGTGGACGAAGTGGCAACGGTCTCACCATTTAGTTCCATATTGGCAGATTTCTTTCTAAGTAAACTAGGGAATGAACCTTTGAACAACCTTATCAGAAAATTCTCATTTTATTGCTGGTATATGGATGACACTTTTATTCTTTGTGTTTATGATTCGGAGACGAACACAATAACAACTCAATTCAATGAAGTACATTCTGGTATGAAATTCATGTGTGAACAGGAATCACAGCATAGAATGAATAGCCTTCCTAGACGTCCTCATTACAAGATAATCAGATGGTAGTATAGACAGAAATTTGCATAGGACGATATACACACTTTGATAACTTCGTTCCTCTCCAGTACAAAAACGATTTAGTAAAGACCTCAGCCCCAGGCTTAAAGCTATATACGCTCAGAAGAGGCAGCTGAAAATCAACTAAGGATTGTATATGCTACGTTGATCGAAAATAGCCATCAAGACAAATTCACCATGTCACATATGACTAAGAAAGTTGAAAAGGATTATTCACTACATACGACTGCGATTCAAGGGCTATACGCCAAGCGAAATACCTATGAAAAGTTAAGAAAATCCAGTCAAAGAACTTTTAATGCTGGCAATCTGTAAGTCTTATTTCCTAAAAGATGGACTATGATTCCTCAGCTGAAAGATGAAATACCTAGACTAGCCACTTCTATCTGTATCTACCAATTCATCTGCGCTTGTAGTTGACTGAGTGATATAGGCCGTTGCTCTAGGTACTTGGTTTTTCGTGCTCGCTCGGGAACATCTGCTAGTGTGGTAAAATGAAGGTGTAGTGAGTAGCATCCCAACCGGCCGGAAAGCTAATACTGAAGAGCCCTTCTTCATCATCTATTGGGTACCAAATAAATTGTCAAAACCATGCAGATATCACACCATCCAAATAGCCGAGGCCATCGTGATTCGTCTGAAACAATCGACTCTCTGTGCACAAAAGAAACACATCCAGCCCCTATTACTGCCCTAGCAAGCCTTCAGTGGAGACTATAAACTCATGAATTCGTATCAGTATATTTCCCAAATTTTTCTTATATTCAGTGTATTGTTATCTTGATTCTAACATACTGTAATCCATTGATATCATTATCGATTCTATGTTATTTAAATAACATGAATGTTTTTATTAACACTAATTCATTCACTATAATGTGTATATAACTGTAGAATCTAATGACAATCAGGTTACCGAAAAGAATATTCTTTGTTCAGTCACCATTAATGGGTATTTTTTAATCAGTCTTACAAGATAATATTCACTAGCTTTCTGCATGAGTTCAGGTATCTGTTTGAATAAGTTAGCTTAGTAACACCCCACTAACCCTACCTACAGTTTTTATTACTTTTTACAGTATAACAAAGTCTTTCTTAAGTAACCCAGAGAAGATCAAGTGGTTAGGACTCTCGCCGACCATGCACATGGTCCGAGGTTCGAGCCTACGCCGGCGCACACCTGATATCTATGGTCGGCCTACGAAATTTGAGCTACCAATATCCATGCTGAAAATTCCATACTTGTACCAAAAATACAGTGTGGAATCAAGCTGTAAATCTAAAAAAAAAAGGTTGTGAGAGGAGTAATAAAGAAAAATATGATTAAGGGTAGAGAGATTCAGAGATACAAAACTGACTTAACTTCCTTCCAAAAATTAAGACCAGCGAAGATTAGAGAAAAAAGGTAATTCAAGTTATTTAACATTCGATTTAGTCCCAGCTTCAGTGTCATCTATGAGACAAGAATCTGATTTCATGATCCAATCGACTGTTTACTTACATTTATTTATCGCCTAAATATGAATTCTAATAGGATTATTTACTCTTGTAACTTTATCAATCATTTAAGACCAAATCACCTCCGTATTCCCAAGAAATCAAAGAGTAAGCATAGTAGTGGTTGGTAATGAGCTCTCAAATGCATACCAGTACATTTAACTACGGTTCCTGTCATAATGAACACAAACTGCTGCTCTCTGCCTAACAAGATAATGTACCGACAATCTCTGGTGTCAACTGACACTTATCATAATACTGCCATAATCACATTACAAGAGACGTGGTTACATGAACTGTATGATGACAATCTTATCTCGCTAAAGGACTTCGTATTATTTAGACAAAAACGTCAGTGTTGCAATGAGAAAAAATGGTGGTGGCGTTGCAACTTTTATTGACTCCAAATGGTCTGTTTCTAATAACGTCTGTTTCACCTTCTCAAATGACTTCATTGACTGTATTACTGTCAAATGTCGTCCCAAACATCTCCCCGAATGTAAACACATCTTTGTTAAAACCATGTACATTTCTCCTAGTTGCTCACTATCTGATTTATCTAATTTTGCTGACGAATTCACCATGTTTGTCGCTGCCACCTTCGACAACTGTATCTGGTAACTACTTACTGGTAACTTCAATTCCTGGGACAGCTTTTTCCTTGATGCACTTGGTCATACAAACATAGTCAACATTCCTACTCGACTTGACAAAACACTCGATCTAGTTTTTATAAACGACGAAGGAGTATATGAATCACGTAAACGTGTACCGATACTTAAATCTGATCACTGTATTGTTCGCGTTTTACCAAAAATATACAGCAAAACGCATATTAAAGCCTTCTCACACCTGTCTATGAAAACACAACAAAGATGCTACACATCTGACTTATGTGAAAAATGGGCTAAATCCATTCCACCTAACTCACAACACCCTCTTCACATTCACAACTCTCCCCTTGTATCTCACCAGACAGAACCAGAAGCCTGTCTATATAGAAAACTATATGCTCACATTAGTAAGTACAAAAACTCATCCATACCCTAATTAGCTCGTGTTCTATGTGATAAAGAAAGGAAGCATTAGGCGTGATACCTATAACTTATTAAATAGTCAGAAGAACAACTGGATCTCGTCTTTCCAACTCATATCATTTATAGGTGCAACGTTTTTCTTTCTTTCCTTTCCTTTTCTCTCTCTTTCTTTTTTTTCTCTGTTATGTGCTCTTTTGTTTCTCTCTTCCTTACAAACTCTATTTAAAACATTCTTCTTCGTTCTTTCACACTCTGTATACCTCGATCTTTTTGTTACCGCTTACGCCAGTAAATATTCTAGTATCTACTATTCTGACACCTTCAAACACTCTGTTCAATTTTGGCTTTGCTACCGACATGCCAATATGCTGTTGTCAAAACTAACTGAGATTATCCATGATCTATGCAGAATTTTATTTATTGATAATGTACAAAGTGGATGCAGTACTGTAGTAAAATGCTGAGAATTCCATTCTGTATCACAAATACTGTTTTGGAATAAAGCAAATTATGATTATTATTATTAAAATAACTGAACTTTTTAGTATGAATGTATCCTGAACTTAGAACTCGGATAAGGTGTGTCCCAAACAAGTGAAACTTTTACTTGACTTCTAAATCCTACTGATTTGACAAGACTGACATCTAATTACACAAGTCATGCTACAGTCATACATGAATGAGTACGAATCAAATACAAACATACTGAATTAACTTGAAATTCTATAAGACACTAAGACATGATATTTCCCCGTTTCCCCTAAAAAAATTAAAAATTTAAAAAACGCGCCAAACAGATTCCACAGAATACTTTGAATAAACAAACAAAAGAATGAATCTTCAATATATATATATATTTATTGTAGAAAAGAAGAGAAAAGGTGAATGTTGTTGAAAATATTAAACACAAATGTTGTAGATGTATATAAAATTACATATATATTAAGGAATTACACAGGATTTCAACAATCGAATTATCGATTTTTATTGGAATTAATTCAGGGCAAAATATGTGTTGAGTAGTAAAATAGAGTTTTTAAAACAAAATTTGAATGCATTCAAAGTATGATACGATACGATACGATACGATACGATAACAAACAGACAAGAACATCATTGTCGTCGTCATCAGTAACATTTAATCCATGCTTGATGCATAATTATCTAAGCGGTTATTTAAACGTTGAATAACTGAAAATTTTAAAAAGGGAATTATTAAAATTTTTAATGTTTTAATAACTCGACTTACGGATGAAGAGAACAGATTTAAGTTTTTCACCAAGACCATCTCTTTCAAAGTAGTCAGCGATTCGTTGACGAGCCCTTGTCATTACTTTGAGTAATAACATTCTAAGCTTCTGACCAACTTCAGTTGCAGTTTGTAGCTGTTGTTATTTATATTTTATAAAAGGGTGTAAATGATTAACTTACCATCTGATCATCGTTACCAGGTCTTGCACTGAAAAATAAATACACATAAAGGATCTATAATAAAAACTTTTAAAGAAGAGTAGGATTGTTGATTCAAAAGAATATATATACATATAAAGATAATTTTAATTTGTCCAACCCAGCAATTGACTGACCTTACTGTAATGGAATGAATGGTTCAAGTCAATCCAATTCGTCAGTTGAAATCGTGATCAATCGTGATTAGGCCGGAGAACTCAACTTAATATACTGACCATTACTTTCAGTCAGCTGATGAGGAGGACTAAGCATCCGCGAAAACTAATAACTGATATTCTACAGAGTTACCCATCATTATTCAATGGATAGAAAGAATCCTTTCATCATTAGTAAACAGATGACAAATAGAAGTAAAAGAATTCTGTGGAATTCTTCGAGGGGATTTCAGAAGTCAAGGACTACAGTTTGTTGTTGATACAACAACATACAAATCAGAGACAGAACTGCCTTGTAATTTTACAATACTTTCTGTTCCATAGGTAAATGTAATTAGGGGATAGATGACAATTATTACGTAATGAATGAAGTTAAACCACGTCTAATATATGCTATGCATATTAATACATCTGTAAGTATTTTGAGGACAGTATTCTCTAAAGATTTATTGTCTAGTCATCCTTACTCCTCAAGTCCTTGCACACATATATATACAAATATATTGGATCAATACAGATTTTGTCTCAAGCCTACATCAGTATACAGACAACTATTGAAATCTAGAGTTCAGTGGATAGATGCCTTGTCCTAGCTTCAGACTTCCCACCAATAAGGAGTCATGACTTCATTAAGGGTCGAATTGAAGATCTTCTGGGTCGTGAGATGAACCTGTTGATAGACTCAGTTAATAAAACATGGAATTCATGCATTTCACGTCCTAACCTTGAAGATATCACAGCTTAATGACTACTAAAGGTTCTAAAACTGGAACGACAAGAATGTCCAGTATGCCCTTACTGCCTTATAAAATCTATCTTTCAAAGTTTAATAAAACTGCTTAAAACAATAAGTAACAATCAATGATATTTAATGAAATAATAATTAATAATTAACTTGTTCAAAACTTAGATGTACATGACCGAAAAAAAGAACTTACTCGACATAGACTACTGCCATAAGAACGAACAAACTCAAGGCAAAAATGAATTTCATTTTGCTTAGTGCTTAATTTTACAGCTGTTTGATATTGAAACACTATTATATGACACCTAAGCTACTCTTATATACATTTTCAACCCTGAAAATATCACGCCATATCAGACAAATGAAAATATACATTAACTAAGACAATGTGTTGTTATGTGATGCTTAGTAGAGAATGTAGGTGGTTTGAAGTGAAGGCTAACAGAAGGGGGGGGGGTGAGCTGGGTGGTAAAGGCATTCTTGTCTAGTGTAACACTTGTATAACGTTTTAAACTGTTGAAAGTGTTTTTGTAATTTGTGCATAAAACTTTGTGTCTCCCACGTGTATGTGAGTGTGTGTGTGTGTGTGTTAATCACTTGTTACACCTTATTGTTTATATTTTTAAATTATTTGTTATCTAGAATTATTTACATGATAACCAAGTCCATTATGGCATTTGTTTAATTCGTTATCAAAATTAAAATGAATTCAAGTCATTATTATACTTATTATTATTTATTCAAAATGTCATATAATTACTTCTATTTGATTTAATCATTATATTATTGTCTGGTTCGTAAATTTAATAGGGTCTTAAGAGGTTAGACAAAAATTTGATATCCTATATTGTATTTTTAATAATTATGCATACCTTACTTTTCGAGGTAAATGTGAAACCTCAGTGGAACGATTTTATTCCAGTTTATTCTCTGTTATCATTTTCAGTTCACTCCACCACTACTACTACTACTACTACCCAGAAGGTTTCATTTCCCCTTTAAAATTATCCCTTTTATGCCCTTATCATACCCACACCTAACTGGTTTTTCAACACATTCACCGACGATTGTGATTCTTGGCTATGTGTGATAAGGTTTTGAGCCACTGATTAGAACTATCTCTCAGCCTCCAACCACCAGGGATTCTTGACGTACTAACCGATGCTACCTACCACAAATATCCTTTATCCTAAGACGCTATTTCGTAGACTGACCGCCTCTCCACTTCTTTCATTCCGTCCCCGGGGTTAGTGGACACAGACCGGGAGAGGAAGCCTCTGGGAAGACATTTGTAGAACATGTCCAGTATAAGGAAGCCACTGTTTTCAGATGACGACATTCAGTGAATGGTGATGCTGCTGGACCTCAGAATTACTCACACGATTATGTCATCGAACGCAAGCAATTCTACAGAATAGGCAGAGTCGCCGCATATCCTTAGCTCAGAGAGGTAGGGTTTCACGCTGATTTCACAGTAATAGACACCTACCCTACTTTCTAAAATGTGGCTGGCTTCAATACCCTCATTCGTGCCTCTTATAGTTCAGCCTACATGCCCAGAAGGGACTTTGAGCTCTAAATTCTTCAGCTACTATCAAAATGCTGGTACACTTTAAATAACATTCACTTAAAAGTTAGAATTAATTGTGCCACTTTCCTCATTACAGTTACAGGGTTTGAATTACGCCATTTAATACAAACTGTCCACCTGTTTGTGATTAACAAATAATTAAAACTAGAAGAAATCTAAAGACGTTTTTGTTTGCCTTACAATGCGCTATATCTAGTTAGCTGGCTTAACAAAGCTACTGAATATTCATAATGTATATATGTGTATATCCAGTTCTCAGGGCAGAATCTACATGATGAGACAATTTTCCCCTTCATATACAACTGTGATCATTTACAGCGTCGAAAAGCAGGAATAAAACAACTGAAAGTACTCAACAGATAATTAGATATGATGGAGGATTTCATTATGAGCTGATATCAGCTAGAGAACCACTGGAAAACCAGCTGGAAGTACTGGACAGCTGTTTCCCTCATACTAGTTTGGGACTCTTCATAGGACGCACCAATCAGGTTTCGAACCCAAGCAGGTTGTAGATGAGGCAGTAACTCATTGAAGAAGACATTGTGAACTGGTCGAGCTATATCATGAATTGGCAGAAGTTAGAATTCATGCACTGGCCATTGGATCAGTTACCGGTTGCTGAGTGGTCTAAGAGCTCTCTGGCCTTGTAACCAGAAGGTCCTGGGCTCGAACCCTGGCGGTGGGTGCGTACTACTGAAGAGCCCATGGTTAAGACGGAGGAAACCGCTGTCCAGTACTCCCAGCTTATTTTTCAATGGTTCTCTGATGGATGTCAGCTGATAATGAAATCCTCCTTCCAATCGAACAAAAATCCCCACAAGGCCAATACTTGAAGATTGTTAGATCTGAATAATTTGAACAAAGAAAGAATGAACATATTTGCAAGATAGTATAAGCTCATTTGATTTCATATTATCCTGCGAATATGTTCATCCTTTCTCTGTTCAAACTAATCAAGGGAATCGGTTTTAATGAAGACCTCAAGAAGTATTTATGAATGCAATTTAGATTGTCTTCTTGATTATTTTGAATCATACTAGCAGCATCAAATAGACGTGTATAAGAAATCTTTGATTTAAACTCGGCGGTTTGGTCACGAGTCGACATCAATTACAGAATGACTGGAAGATCTAAGAGTACTGGACAGCTGTTTCCTCCTAGTGTGGACCTCTTCATCAGTACACACCCATTTGGTTTCGAACTCACGACCTTCCGGTTACATGGCAAGCTCGTAGACCGCTCTGCCACTGGGAGCAGATCCAAGTGTCAAATAAATTCTAATATCATGGATGCAAAGTGTTGTGGCTCTTAGGATAAAGTTGACCTTAAGGAATGGCTGAATACTTGGAAAGTCCAGAAAATAGTAATAATAATAATAATAATGGAAGTTTAATCCAGAATCTAGACAGCTCTTTATACTTAAAAAATTAACTGCACCGTTTGCAAATTACATTGTTGGAGTTAAAAACCCGTCAGACTTTCCTCTAGGAACCGAAAACGTTCAGATCACAAAGTGGGGATCTTCTTGATATCATGAAGGGGGATTAAGAAGGCAAGCATCAATGCATAATAGGATAAATTTCCAACTAATATGAAAAGTTGAGACTTACTCATCAGATCAAAATTATATAAACATGGGACTCGTGTTTCTCCCACATAAATCCAGCAGTGTATCTAGTTTGATTCAGCACAGAGATCCAAATCAGTTCAAATCTATCGACCAGGTATGAGCTCCGCTTCAAAACAAGAGAAACGGCAGTCCAGTGTTTAGCATGTTTCATTATGGCTATTAGGCACTATTGTGTGGCTAGACGGGTTTCCAACTACTAATATAAATAAGTAGTATATACCACTGTTTCACTTTTAGTATTTTAAAGTTTTGTGGGATTCTGCCTTCATGGGTCGCATTTTTTTAAATACGGTGGGCACAGTATAGCCTAAAACATACAAATAGTCTCTCGAAACCATTTCCTTTTGAGGAAATGGATTTATACGCTCTTTTGAGAGTTTAGAATTATAGAAAAGGGAACAGATTTTAAACCTAGGTGTATTCTGTCAGAGGTTAAACACAATTCAGAGAGTGCATAATATTTAGCAGTTATCTAATAATTGTTTCACTTTATCAGATCGCTACTTATGAGCTAGAAAGACTTCAGGCCTACAGTACTTAACATTTTAATTGCTTTTATTGTTCACTATTCACCCCCCACCCTCTTAAACTCTCCACCACAAAATGTGTAAATTCACTCTGTTCTCTGACCGTGACCCTGTAATATGCCTCTAATCAATCTGTGTTTTCCAATAGAAATCTGAAATCTAAACCCTCTTATCTAATTCCACTATATATAATTAGTTTTTTTGACACTGAATAATCAGACTACCTACATCAAATTCCGGAATTATGTTCCTTATACCTTCTATTTATAACTCCAAGTAATTATGAAAAAGTATGTTCCAAAGCTTTTTTGATACTTATAATTTGATTTTTGTTTAGGATGTATGCAGTTGATGAGTATCCACGAAACAAAACGAGCTCATATTATCCTGCAAACATGTTCGTTCTTTCTCTCTTCAAACATCTCTACTTCGTCCTTTTCTTTGTGGTCCTCTTGAGCTAGACCTACGATTGACCGTATTCTATTATCCACTGTTCACATGATCTTCACATCATCCCTGAGCATACGCCCGATTCTTCGTTTCCCATTTAGACCCCACTCGAGATGTCATTCAATGGTCTCCTCAACGTGTGTTCTATACATCTACATCTTCTTTGGAATATTTGTAGGGCAACAGATTCTTTATTGATCCGTTCCTAGAATTTCTTGATTTCTAGTCCTTCCCAGCAGACCATCTGATCTTCACTATGGAGCCAGGGAAGACAGATATTCATGAAAGTCTGAAGTCACCACTTGAAAACACTCTTGGCAACACTCACCGAGTCTGTGAACCAAATACAAGATTTGACTGTCTTAACATTGGTGCTCGAAATCCCAATGAGGTTCTTTATAGTGAATGCAGAAGATATCAAAACTGATTTCAGAGGAATGAATGTCTGTCTTGTCTTTTAGATGCTGGCTGATTTTGACATCCTGCTATGTGCTGTCACTTAAAGTTGAAGTGATGATGCCTTGATAAGTGAAAGAATTGACCTCTATGAAATTTATTCCGTTGACTAATATTTTAAGCAACAAGCATATTCAAGAGTATTTAACACACTGAAGTCACTTATTAGTTATGACAGATGATTGGAAATAGAGCTTGATAGCTAGTGTGAAGATGTTAGACGGACATGAAAGCTTGGGATTAATCTTTGTGACTGCAATGAGACCCCGGCCTGTAGAACTCCGGATTAGCTATTCGGGAGACTATTGTTCGAACCCTTAGATTTTCACTTCACCTTCTATTGTCAGTAAATGTATCAAACTTTGCTACAAAAAGAAAAATGTAATAAAGTGTTAGGGATTAAAATAAAGGAATAGTCACAACTCATTGTTTACACATATGTATGTTCCACTGCGTTCCAAGTATAACACATGGCTTCAAGCTTCTAAGCTTGAAACTAAAGTTGAGTTTTGCAACTTGAGTTATAGCTTAGTTAGGTATTTCACACTCTAAACTCAGGAATCATGCAAAATTTCTAGAATGTAGCAATTTTTCTATTCCTTTTTGTTTATAGTAGAACGAAGGGCTTCAAGTCTGAGCTTTGTGGTTTCACTTATCGTCGGTGTCGCCCTATTTTAAAGAAAGCCGTTACTTGCCCGCTTACCACCGGCTTAGCAAGGTTTGGGAGTGCATCGAGTACAAAACCCAAATCACATGCTTGGTTGCCAAAATTCTACTAATGAACTACTGACCGTCTTGAAATAAAAGGTTA